TGGGTTGAATTCCATCTCCCAAAGAGATATGGCAAAGTCCTAATCCTGAGTACCTGTGAATGTGACCTTGTTTGGAAACAGAATCTTTACAGATGTAATCAAGTTAAAATGAGGTTATACTGGATTCGCGCAGGCCCTGGTCCAGTGATAGGGGATGGGGGTGGAGGGAGTCTTCATAAGAGAAGAGAGAAGGACACAGAGACATACACAGAGGAACAACAGCCATGGAAAATGGAGGCAGAAACTGGAGTGATGGGTCTACAAGCCAAGGAACACCAAAGATTGCTAGCCACCATGAAAAGCAACAAAGAGGCTAAGTGTGCCCATTTAGCAGAGTCATATGTTGGGACAGAGGTTTGCAGGACTCTGGTCACTCTCAAGAAGTAGAAATTTACAAAAAAGAATTGCCATAAATTTCATCCCAGATCAGCATTGGTCATCAGAGTTTTCCCAAAAGGTCAAAAGCAAAACAAAACAAGCAATCATGACAAAATAGCAAGAACACTGTGCAAGTTCTCATTTTCATGTAGTAGATTTTCTTTAAGCAAGGCCCCCTTGAACTGAAACATCCCATTGACCAGGAAGCCTCCTCCGGAAACCTAAGCCCAAACAGTCAAGACTGAAAAGAAAACTCCAGGGTCTTTGGCCTTCTGAGTGAAGAATTATCCTCCTCTGCCTTACAGGCTCTTCAGCTGCCTACATTAACCTGGAGTTCTGGACAGAGCCCAGCTGTCCCCAGTGGTGATGGGGCAATGGTCTCTAGGCGGACCACAGTGCAGGCCATTCAGAGTGTTTAAACAAACCTATCAGAGTAGCTCCTGGACCAAGCACAAGCATTCCCATCTGTGTTTGCCTTCCTCCACTCTTGCTTTCAGGCCTAGGGAGGGTGGTATCTGTCCAGAGGCTCTTGGGTTATGGAATGTATTTAAATGTCTGGTTCAAAACGCTCGTCCACCTCTCTCAAATCTAACAATTGTTTAAGCATTATTGCTTGACTGGATGCAGATGTTCAGCTCATCTCTTGTTGGGAGGAGTACTTCTTTAGAAGAAGGAGGAAAATTGGCTTTTTTCTTCTTTTTTTTTTTCAGACACATATTTTATCTTTATGTTTGTATCAAGGGCTGCCAAGAGATGCATCTGGTCCCCAAATCAAGAATCTCACACTCCTCCTCCCAACTCACAGCTTTCCAAGTGTCTTTCTTTGTGATCTCTGCCCAAGCAAGCTGTCGGCAGAGCTCAATGGACAGATGACCAACACCTCCTGAAAGAGAGCGGAGCCTGTTGGCATCAATGCCAGGAAGAGCAGCACCAATGGCATTTTTAATGTCATCTCCTGCCTTTTACTTTTTTTATACAATTCATTTTCTGATTAATATTTTCAGCAGCTAGAGCAAATGCCAGTTTAATTAAATTTCCACACCATCCCCCCTTTATCCAATTAGTGGGTTCACTGGCTCCTCAACAACCTTCAGCATCTGCGTTTTCAGTGAATGCTCAGTTGCTTTTGGTCTCGCCAAAAAAAAATCTGTTACATATTAAGTTATAATAAGATATAGGCAATTATAGTAGCAGCAGGACAAATAGATTTGTATGGTTCATTACAAGGGATTTCTGGAACATACGTAGTGTAAATAACCAGTTTCTGGGGCAGAGCATATTTTGGAGGAAAATATTTTTTAAAAAGATGGGGAGGGGAAGAGGCCATTATTAGTTATGATAAGAAATCTCTGAATATAAAGAAATCCTACCAGTTCAGTAGCTCTCTGTTATTTAGATGAGCAACATTTCAACACATGAACCAGAAACAGATAAATGACGAAGGGACTTTCCATGGAAAACGGGTGGTGATCTGTTTTTCATATTTATAAAGAAAGAGTAAATAACCATTGTCATTGCCTTAGAGGAGACTGAACAAACAAGCAAAACAAACTAACCCTAAGGGAGCATCTGGTATGTGATAAACCATGTGCCCACAATTTGCTTTTGCACACTTTATCTCATTTAAATCTCATGACAACCCCGGGAGATATTAGAGTGAGACACTGGAATGACAATTTCATAGAGTTCACCCTAATAGCTATTGTTTTATAAAGGAGGATACTGAGGCTCAAGAAGTTGGTAACTGCTCAAGGCCACCCAGCTAGTAAGTGGCTGAATCAGAAATACATTATGGGTCTTTCTGGCTCCACAGACAGTGCTATTTCCATGATACTATTCTAAGCCAAGAGACTATTTCAGGGTCAATGCATAAATAAAGTAGAAGAGGAGTCTTCCTGCCTGCAAAAATTTCAGAAATGTCAGAGAAGTTCCTCTTGTAAATTAATTAATATGTGGCTGATGAACATCACTCAATATACATTAGATTATATGTCATGTCTAGCAGATCTTAGTAATGATGTAAAAGAATGGCATTCCACTTCAAGGGAAAAAAGGACCTTCCATGATGTTCCCATGATGTTCTTTTGAAAAAGTATCAAAAGAAATGATAGATTAGGGAAAACAAGATTGCCTGAATTTACCATTTTTTTTAAGTAGACTCAAAGCTGGTTGACCTTAATGGCTCAGCTCTGCCTCAAGGATGTAATTTTTTAAAAATCTGACATTGGAAATATATCTTCTTCTTTACTATGCTTAAGAAAGATACTACTTCCTAAGAGCTGCACCTGAATAGAACCTTGAGAAATCTTGCTCCTCTGGTCACCCAACGTATCTCTAAGCCATAAGCATTATTGTTTTTATCTTAAAAAAAAAAAAAAAAACTTCCAGGAAGGTGGTTCTTCAGCACTTTTCAACGTTCCATATGGAGAACTATTTTTCAACCAATACCACTCTGCAGAATCCATTTTACGACTCCCAGGATAAATGCAAGGCATTTTGCCTAATTCTTCAGCCCACATTGGAAAGTAGGGTTGAAAAATCCCATATAAGTAAATACTCCATGAGTTTATACAGGCTGAAGTCACTGAGCCCAGAATATTATCCAGCTCCCCAGAGAGCCTACTGTAGCATGCGAACATGGCTTTAAAGAGATGTGCCAAAATGCTAACCTCTTTCCCTCTGAGAAACAAGAGTGGGAATGGAAGATTCTGAGCCAACGCTGGTCACTGGGATGGGTAGAGTATTGGGCTGAGTGAAACCTGCATTCAAGCTTAGAGGCAGGTCAGCTGCAGATTCGAGGAGCCAACCTGGCAGTAGAAACCTGGTTGTTGAATTCTCAGATGGTGAGCAGTGTTTTCTGTCTGAATGGGGGTTGGTGGTGTCAACATGAGCCCACCTGCTATTTTTTGAGCTCTGTGTGTCCACTTTCGCTGGCTCCTAAGTTGCTTCTTCCTCCCAGGGAATCAATGCATTGAAATGAGGAGTGCTGGATTTGGAATACTGAGCAATGAGTTTTGTGGGTTTCTGCCTCTTTGTCCTTACAAAATTACTAATCAATCCACTTCTAAAGTCTCTGTTTCCTCATCTCTAAAATAAGGAGTCCAGAATTTGTAACCCATGCTCTTTTCAAGCACTGAGAAACGTGAGTATATTCTCTGAGTAATGGACAACAAAGGCCAAGGTTAAATCCCAGGATTCATAGAGTCTGTTCTAATAGAATTAATATGTGGCCGAATTTTAAAAACTGCAAACTGGATATCAGACATAATAAAACAGAGGGGCTGGAACTTACCTCTCTGGACTCCTGATCCCTTTAGAGTTGCACTACTTCATTATCAAATCCCATGGGCAAGAGCAAAGGAAAAATAATTTGTATCAGACATGTCTCTAGAGGGACTTCCCTACCCATGGCTGTATTGAGAAAGCAAACCTGGGTTGCTATGTTGAATGCTATTGGGCCCCACCCAAATCTAGCCATAACTGATGGGACAGGGTCGGAGAGGGCAATCCATGTGCTCTCCAGTGAATCTGGGACCAAGCAGAGTCCTCCATCAAGAATTTAAAGTTCGAGAACTGGATGCTTAAGCCAGTAAGAGTAGGGATAGGAACCAAAACGGTACCCTAGAACAGTGTCTAGAGAGTCCAGGGGCAATTGTCAGGGTGGATCATGAGTAAATTAAAGCTATGAGGGAGCATAAGCTATGGGTGAGCAAAGGAGTAGTCTTGTGAGACCAGAGATGGTCCTCCCAGTCCTCTTGGCATTCATGCCTCTCATAGTCCTCTCACTTTGAATTGGGACTCACCCTACCAGTGGTCAAACATGGTGGAAATAACAGAGCGTGGCTCCAAAAATAGGCCGTAAAAAGCCTTGCAGCTTCCACCTGGGTATCACTGGATGTTCGCTCTTAGAACCCAGCTACCATGCCAAGAGAAATCCAAGCCACATGGACAGGCCACACAGTTACTGGAGTCAGCAGCCTCAGCTAGACTCAGCCAGCAGCCATGTGAGTGGGCCACCTTGCAAGTCTAGCTAGGTTGAGTCTTCAGATCAGTCTACCCAGCTGCCACCTGACTGTAACTACAAGAAGCACCTTGAGAAAGAACTAGAGAGTGCATTCAACCCACAGAGGTATGAGAAATAGTGATAATTGTTATTTTGTGCCACTGCATCTGGGACTGGTTTGTGGCATAGCAACAGGATAGGGAAGGAATCATCACAAATATTAGGTTGGTGCAAAAGTAACTGTGGTTTTTGCAAAAACCGTGATTATTTTTGCACCAGCCTAATATGTGTATCTACCATATACTCACAAAATTTTTTTAAAAATTTAGAGACAATATCGGATTGGATGTAGAGAAGATACTCTCCAAGACAGATATTGGTGTCCAAGATTTCTAGTCCTCAACAGAGCCATACCTGTCTTTAAGACAGCATTCTTTTATTGGAAGCAATTTGAGGGGATCTCTTTTCCTTATGACATAAACAAACCCACTAAAGTCCAATTGCAACAAGACAGAAATAGATACCTAGTGAATAGAGAGTCTAGGACAGAGGTTTCCTGAAGCTAGTCTATGAATAACTACTTGCACTAACAAGGTTTTTACAACTCTCTAATTAATAAGAAATATAAAAACAATGTAAGAATTTGTATTTATGAACCTAACTTTATTCACACTGATAAAGGCAGCCTGTAAAATGATCTCCTCTGAGAGATGGAAATGTGAAGCAGCAGGAGAGTATCAGATCCCCAGCACCAAGCATTACTCATCAGATTCTTGGTCATCAAGAGATGGAGACATTTATGTCTCTCCCTGCCTCTCCTCCCTCTATCTTTCTTTTTCTCCTTGTAAGACCCAGAAATGCAATGGCTGAGAATTGCTTTTACCTCCCCTTCCTGGTCAGCCTGTCCTTTGCTTAGGGAAGAATTCTCACTTCTGCTATGTCATGTCCTTCTTCCTCTCTACCCCGGAACCATGGCTAGGCATCAATAGCAGATGCAAAAAAAAAAAAGGAAAAACAAATATTGGGGAAAGGGAGAGTATGCATAACTTTCATCAGAGTCAATAAAGGAAGCCTCCAGTATGACAAGTGGAGAATCTATTATTTCTCAATGCCTGGGCCTTGTTCTATACTTAGCTACTTAACCTATATTTGAGTAAGATAAATAGATGGATATCTGTTAAACAAGATGCCCTCTCATGTCTAGTTCCTCCAACACCTCACATGGTGTACATTACTGGAACTCAGGTAGTTTAACGGCTACTGCTTTTCACAGAGACAAAAGAAAAGTCCTTTCATAGGCTCCACCTTGCCCAAGGTTACAGAGAACCTGGGGCTGGGGCCCATGGTGTTCCCTGCCAGCCTTCTCTTAGGTAGGAGATCAAAGCCTGGGCAGAGAGCCCGCCGACCCTGATTTGCATCGTGAAAGTCACCTGTCCAGCTCTGCCCTAGAGGCAAAGAGATCAAAGCTGGGAGGGCAGCTGGGAGCAGGGAGGAAATAAAATATTGATTTAATGAGATGCATGGTAATTCTCCTCCACCCACCTTCTCAGTAATGAAAGTGAGGCTGTGAAGTGACCATTATCCATGCTCCTTCCACGATCCCATGTTATGGCTCCCACTTGCCCTGCCATATGGGCCTCATGCAGTCTTGCCCAGAAAAGGAAAACTGAGAGAAACCATGCAATCAGACGGATTCCCAAGCACCTCCACCACCTTGGTGGAGGTATGCCATAAGGAGGTGAGTTTTGAACTGTTTCAGTCCCAGTTGAAAAATAATTACATGCAGAAGCTCAAAATCTAAAACAGATAAAAGAGTATCTGCTTAAAAAGATGTGGGGGAAGGGTACTCTAGAGTCTCTGATTCCTCTTCTCTGGTAACCAAAGAAGCCACAGAGGACAAATGGAAAATAACTTTTCTAACTTTGAGTTCTTCTATTGCTAAAATGCTCTGAAGCTTACCATACTTGAGCTGGGTTTCAATGAAAGGGGTGAGAGTGGGTGGAGATGAGAATAAGAAGGCATGTCAAGCTTGGTGGCAAGCTAAGATCTTAAAGCAGCAGACAAAACTCAAGTAATGGGCATATTTTCTGGCTGGAAAGGCAGAGGGGGCCAGAGACATATTGATTTCGAGGTCTTGGGGGAATTCTCTGTCTGAAATGCCTGCCGAAGATGACGTCACTGACCCTCATCAGAGGCTGGGCCCTGGGGAGCTGTGGCTCACCACAGAAGCAGCTACAGTTTCTGTGTAAGAGGAGCCAAAGCCCTTTTGGCCCTGGCTGCAGAGTGTGGGCGGGCGAGGGAGGATTTAAGGATTAAGTGGTGAAGATGTTAAGTGAGCACGGGCTCCTTATTCATTGTCTAGATTTTAGCTTCTTTACTCCAATACCCAAGAAGGACGGTTTTGTGTTTGTTCTCCGTATTTCTTAACATATGATTAAGTTGTCTTTAAAAAATCTGGCCTCTTTCCCCAGGACAGTTACCCCGGTGCCATTTGCAACCTGGTCAATCTGGTTTCAACTGTATTCCCTGACTTACCTCAGCCACTGTGAACTTCTTACTGGTCCCCAGCCACGTCGGACCCTCAATGAAGGGTACTTCATCCTTTATCCTGTATATGCACATCATCATCTTCACAGACGGTCTTGCCACCTTTATTTCAGCAAAGGACTGCCACCAACAACAGGGGATTTGGGATTCTGGGTTCAAATTCCAACTCTATGATTTACAGGTTATGTGACTTTGGGCAGGTCATTGAAATTCTCTGAGCCTCAGCTTCTGTATTTATAACATAAAGTAAGGATGAAAAGATACAACAGACATGCCACTAGCTCTGTGCCCAGCAAGGACATGTGCTTGTAAGGGGTTGCCACTAGCCTGGCAAACCCCAACTCCATTCTTCAACATGGAGCTCTGGGGAAATGAGCCCTGAGATCGCCAGTGACTGGGGGCTCATCTCTTCCCAAGCAAGTCTCTGCATGGTTGACAGAAATTTGCCATTGCATTGCAGTAAAACTGACTTCCACCAGCAGATGCCAAGAAATGAGCACTTCCTACTTCTGTCACACTGTTTAGAAAAGATAGACAATCTGCTGCCCCAACATGCCTGACTCCCTCCTAAGGAGTCACATTGGAGCCAGGAGGATGAAATTTACCTCTTCTAGGTTCCATGTGGATCCAAACAGGAAGAGAAAGTCGCTGAAGGTCTCCTTTTTCACTGTCTCTGAATCCAGCCATTCCATCTTCAGTAATGCAGCAGCCTAATGATTTTCAAGCCCAGTTATTTCTAACACCTTTCATCTAGACCCAAATGTCCTTTCTTTGCCAAGAATCCACCCAAAACATCTGGAGCTCTGAATGTAAAGCAGGTATATTGAATGCTAGAATCTAATTAAGGAAGGAGAAAAGAAAGAACCCTTAGAGATAGCCTGAAGACTGGCTGTGATCCAGAGGCCTGATGGGCTTATACTTATGGGGCCTCAGGGTGATGGGGTAGAAGGTTCTGGTGGGCAGGTTGCAGACAGAAAGAGAAGCGGAGTCTGCAACATTCAGGGCGTCTGTCCCCAAACCCAAGCCCAGCAGGGAAAGAGCTGGAATCTCCATGGCATTAAACTACACAAAAGAGAAAAAAGAGACTAAGAGTCTAACAGAGATTTAAAACAAGATGGCCCTGCAAACATGTCTCAGTCAGAGAATTTTCTTGGCTTCTGCTACTCCTCAGCACTCCCTACTAGATCCCTCATTTTCAGCAGACCATCAGCCCCAAAACACCTAGACCACACAAAGATTTAATTCATTCATTCACAAATCTGTATTGCAGGTCCAGTACACTCCAGACACTGCTCTAAGGCACAGTTAGACACAGTCAAGAAAACAGATGACAATTCCTGCCTCATGGAGCTTCCGTTCTAGTGAGGCATTCTTGTCTGGCTAATGTGAAACACACCATTGAGATTCAAGGCCAGGATTCATAAACCCAGTGCATCCAGGAGCTGGACAAGGAACAGCCATGAGCAGTGATTCAGTTGCAAGGCAATAGGGAATGGTATGAACTGTGGGGACCAGAAATCTCATACCTCATTTAAAGAAGGAAGCTGCTATTTTGTTCCAGGCCATTGTCTCCACAAAAGAATATAATGTCATTGCTTCCATATTTTTTGCTTTTCAGCAGAAGTAAAAAATCTAGAATTCTGTGAAATTCTCCAATTTTAAAAATCTGAAACAAATCAAACTAACCATATGTGACAGCCAGTTCCCATCTGAGAGACATCTCCTTGTGACTCACTCTTGATGTCCAGTGGGAATTGGTGGGCATTGAGGGATTGAGCAGATCAATGACAAAACCTGGATCAGAAAGGCATGGTCTCAAACCAGCTTCCCCCGGTGTAGTAAGCTTCACTACCAGCATAGTAAGGTGACTTTTTAAAGGCAAGTCACTTGGACTCCTGAGTCTCCATTTTTTAATCTGTAAAACAGGAATAAAATCATATAATGATTATTTATTTCAGGGTTCTGGCAGGAAGCAGATGCACATTCAAAGGTTTCAAGTGAAGGAGTTTAATTGTTCTATTGACAGAGGCATAGACAGAGGTCAGTGGGGAATGCATAAGAACTGATGAAACATCCTGGTACTAGAAATACCAAGGAGCCATTACTACCCGGGGCCAGAAGGAGTAAAGGGAGAAAAAGATCCCAGATTCTGGTGAGAGATGCAGCTGTGGATGAAGGGCAGTCGTCAGGAGCTGTGGTCCTAAAGGGATGCCAACCCTGCCAGTGTTGAGAAAATAATATCCCTGCCTGATAGTCTCTCCTTCTAATCTCCTGCTGCTGCCTCCTATCGGCCCTACCAATCTAGAAGCCAGAAGGCAAGAGAGCTTGGGTGGTGCTGTCTGCAGAGCTCAGTCTTGTGGGGCACAGGCCAGGGTGAAAAAGAGCAGAGCACAGGTCAATGGATCTGAAAGAAGACACGGTTGTCCTTTACATTTCCTTTCAGTTGAATATATACCAACCCTCTTTCTCACTCTCTCAGCATCCTAGGGGGAAATAGTCTGGTGGAGCCCTCTCTACTCTACCTCAAAACGCTCATGACTTTGAACATGTCAAGCAAACTGAGAAGTGCTCAAAGGGTGATTTTCTGGGAAAGGCTAGGTAAGGCATCTGCACTAGGTTTCCACTAGGTAGTGCAGATACCCTACCTAGCCTAAAGTCATGGTTGGTCAAAATGATTAATTATGAGAACTCTTCTTCATTACAGGTCACCAGGATAGGAGGCTTGCCAAAAAAGAATCGAGTGAGGGAAAGAGCCCACTCAAAGTGAGGAAGGGAAGGCAAGGGAGTGGTGGGAGGCAGGCTGACCTTCTCTATTGCCACCTTGGGCTGGGAGTGGAGGGCTGAGTAAGAAAGAGGGTGATCAGGAAAAGCTAAACCTCAAGCAACATGTGTTAGGCTGCAAGTAACTGAAAACTCACTGGTGTAACCAAACAAATCCAGAGCTTAGGGCAGTGATCAGTGTGGCTTGAGTAGATCTGTGCAACTATGGCTGTGGGTCCTGCCTTCTTCCACATGAGGCTTCCTCCTCTGGCTCATCATGGGAGGGCTGCCACAATCTCCAGACTCCCATCCTGACATGACAGTATCTAGAGGGAAGATAGAAATTTAGCTTATGATAGCTCAGAAAAGCACACTCTTTTCAGATGCATCCTTGAATCAATTCCTCTGTCTAAGGAAATACCACATGATGATTGTCTTAGGTCTGGTTACAATAAACAATTTCTATAGCAACAAGGGTGGGTGTGATTTCTGTGACAGAGTGACAATTTTCTCAATTCTCTCATGGCTTGTACATAATTAGTACTATTTAGATGTATAGGATAGAAAATAATTCATTACCTACAATGGATGTCTGGGGGCATTTAGACTTCATTCTCTTGATGTACCCCATCAAAAACAATCATCAAATTTCATTTCCTTTTAAAAACAAGGGTTTATTTCTCATTTATGCAAAGTGTCCAGTGAAGGTTGACGGGGAGTTTTTTTTTTTTTTGCTCCAAGTCTCCTCCCCTAGAGACCCAGGCACATAGAGCTTTCACCATCCAAAATGTTCCTGGTTGTCATGGCAGGAGGACAAAAGCTAATTTTCACTCAACCACATAAGCTTCCACCTGGAAGGGACATATGTCAATTTCTCTCAGTGGAATTTTAGTGACCAATGCAAGTTTCACAGGCACTTTTAACTTCAAGGCAATAGAGCAGTGTAATTTTACATTATGCCTAAAAGGAGAAGAAAGCAAGTTGGCAGTGCATGTTAAGGAACTAAAGGGGAGTTTATGTACCCTCCTTCATGTTAAACCCTCAGGAAGTAGAAACTCAGACAATGATTTATGTACAAACATGTATATTGAAACACTGCATATACAAACAAGAAACAAAAACAGAAACAGAACATCCAACAGTAGTGTAATTCTTAAATAAATTGGTCTAGCCATAGGATGGATACTTCTCTAGTGTTCTAAAATATCGCTTTTGAAGAGTGTTTAATGACACAGGAAAATTCTCACAATAAGTAAAAGAGAAGTAAAGAATAAAGAATTTCACTGTTCTGTTAATAGTAATATAAAAGTACCAAGAAAACAGACAAAGGAAACGTACTGAAATATTAATGACAGCTATCACTACATTAATATTATTGTTTTCTTTGTGCTTTTCTGTATTTCTTTAGTTCTCTATGCAGATTAGTAAATTTTTGAATAATCAATTTAAGCAGATTATTTTAAAATAGAAATATATAGGTGTTTATCACAGAAATTTATATAATAGTAAAAATTAGAAACATCTAAAATCTACAAGAGGGAGTTGGTAAAAAATTATAGTTCCATCAAATAATAGTTTATGATGAAGCATTTAAAAATTAAGATCTATTTCATCTGCTATGCAACATTTGCTAAGACATAAGTGAAAAAACACAGTGCAGAAAAGTAGGTATAGTATACTGCCATTTATTTAAGCATGTGTATGCATACATACATTTTTGAAAAGAATGTACCAAAAACTGCTAAAAGTGGTGCCTTTGGGTGGGGAAAACTAAGAGACTGAAGAAATGACTCATAGCTGTCTGTGGAAGGATGACTTTGAATTTTAATTTCTTTACATTATTTGATTTTTTTAACCCTGTGCATGCATTATTTATCTTGAGTTCTATTTTACAAAAAAATTATAAACAAATAAATAAATCAGACGCTGGCTTTGGCAGATATATCATAACTGCTGGTTACCTTCCCTGCCCTTTTCCTGTCTTTGGGCCATCTCACTCAATGCCTCAGTCCTAGGCTGGAAAATAGCTACAGTTTAACAAGGCTTAGGGATTGAAAATGAATTTCATTGATCTGTCTGCCATTCTGAGCACAAATAACAAAGGGTAACCCCAAGGTTGTCCCACTCAGGTGTAGGAAATACCAGTCATCTTTTCACCTGGGGTATAGGCAGCTGGTACTTTTCCCAAGGACCCATGAGCTATAAAAACACAAAGACCTCCACATGGCTGATAATGAAGATTTCCTGCAAATAGTTGACATTGTGAGCCCATGCCTTTTGTCTGCTCAGAACCATTTAATTCTTGGGAGTTGCTTATATTCATGGATATTGAAATGGACTAATCACTGTGGATAATCTCAGGATCAAACCTTCTGAAGAAAGAGCGGCTCCAATACTGATACAGGAAATCCAGCTCTCAGCTCCCCGGAGCAAGGCATTAGAGAATGGCTCCTTGTAGTTCCAGGTCCCAGGACAAATTTGGTGACAGGACAGTCAAGAGTAGAAGAGATTTTGTACCTTAAATTTGTTCTGAAATTAGGCTCTCTAGTTCTTTTGCCTCTCAGCCTTCTCCTAGAACCCCCAACACATATGCTCCCTTCTTTCCATCTCCACTGGGAAGGAGCTGTGATAAGCGTTATTCATGCAGCAAATCCCTGGTCCAGGCACTGGGGATACAGAGTAAAGAGATCCAAGTAGGAAACAACTCTACTCATGAATTATAAATAAAATTTAAACATATAGGATGACACAAGTGCTATGGAGAAAAATTAAGCAGGGAAGTGGAACGAAGGTGCCAGAAAGAGGCCTTACTCCAAAGCTGAAGCTCCAGTGAAGATCTGACAGCAGCAGAGAGGGCCTGTGTGGACATGGGGGAATGTGTATTTTGAGAAAAGTGGCTGAATTTTACCCATAGTTTGGTAGAAGGTAGAAGTAGCCAGTGGAGGAGCAGAAATAATGTTTCAATATTTCTGTAATAAAATGTTTTAAAATTTTATTTCCAAGATCTAAATAGTTATGAGAAATAATATAAATGTCCAGCAGCAGTTATATTATGGTACAAACATGAAGTAGACTATAATCTAGTCACTAACAATGCTGGATTTGCAAGAATATGCAACAGTGGGATAACACACTCAACAAAAAATGTTAAGTGGGAAAAGCAGAATGCAAAATTATCATCAGGTTTGTCATGCTCACTGTAATAACCTAGTGTGGCACCCAGAACAGTGGTTGGTACATAGTGGGCATGCAATCAATAGTAATAAATAGCTGTTGATTAAGTTAATTGCTGAGCATATGCATGGTGGAAAAATAACTAGAAGAAAATGCATCAAATTATTAACAGTGGTTGGCCTGCAGTGATAGAATTCTTGATAATTTTCATCAGTGTATGTTAAAGCTTCCCAGATTATTCCAATATGCAGCCAGCGTTGGAAATGACTGTTTTATGCATGTCTGATTTTATTCTCTGAGGTACATTTTTCAATCCTCAATGCATAGATAAGGAACTGAAGTTCAAAGAGGTGAGGGTCAGCTTGCCCATAAGGTAGGCAGTGAGAGAGCAGGCGATCTAGCCCCAGACCTTATGGAACTCACTTGGCCTACTATTTTTACTTGAAACAGCTGATACCCAAGGAAAGCTCTGGGAGGACTCCCCCAAGGCACAGACTGGTCACTGGTGAGTCAGTACACAACCTGAAGTTCCTACACACTGTTTGGGATTCTTTTCAGATATCTGGTGCTGTTGAAACAGGGAGAGCAGATGACAAAAAGAAATGCGCTGCAGGTGTGGTGGCTCACACCTGTAATCCCAGCAATTTGGGAGGCCGAGGAGGGCGGATCACAAAGCAAGAGATCAAGACCATCCTGGCCAACATGGTGAAATCCCATCTTTGGCTAAAAATACAAAAATCCCAGCTAAAAATACAAAAATTAGCTGGGGGTGGTGGCACGCACCTGTAGTCCCAGCTACTTGGGAGGCTGAGACAGGAGAGTTGCTTGAACCTGGGAGGCAGAGGTTGCTGTGAGCCAAGATCATGCCACTGCACTCCAGCCTGGCACCTGGCAACAGAGCAAGACTGTGTCTCAAAAAAGAAAAGAAAAAAAAAAAAATTTGTATGACTGAGACGGGGAGTTTCACCTTTGACCAGGCTCAGCCAGAATTCCAGGTTTGGTTCCGTCTAGTCCTACCTTAGTGAGAATGCAGAGGCTTCCCTCTCATGCCAGCAGCTGGCCTCTAAGAGTGCAGGGTCCACCCTTCTCTTCAGGATACATGAGAATCCGGGGAACCCATTAAATCAGGATTGTCTGCATTGTGTGCTTGAACGGAGGCTAAGCAACATCTTAAGCCCAATTATTACTTGATTATGGGGACTATCTGGCTGATGGTTGGTTATCCTTACTGGGTGACAGTGACAAAGATAAATGGGTGCTACCATGGCTGCTATTTAACTCTGCTAATGAGTAGTTTCTGCTGTGTTGGAAGCTCCTAGTTCATTAATCTCTAACAGTGGGGTATTCCTCATTTTTTCTTAACCCAACTGACTTTAATCTTAAGGTAGGAAAACTAGAAACTTCCATCTGGAACCATACAGTATGGGTTTTGTGGTCTTGGCTTCCTTTTTCTACAGTGAGTGACTCAGGCCTTGTGATAGGAATAAGGTGGAGGATGGAGGAGCCTTCAGGGTCATACTCCTCTTGTCTTATTGACTCAAATGTAGAGATGAAACCAAGATGATTGACAAAGCAATACCTCCCTGTGACAAAGGCAATGAGCCAAGAACCTCAAGGTAGTTTTTAGAATGCTTCTTTTTACCCCAGGGTGATGTATGTGAAAGAGAACTGGATATTATCAATATTATTGCAACTATTATCTACTGTAGTCTACTTACACTAAAGCTTAAAATAAATCTTCTGTCCAGAAGCCTGCCCCTCCAACAATTGATTTCCTTTTCAGGCAGGCCAAAGAATTCTTTTGGAAGGATAAAACTACCATGCAGTCTGAGCTTGATGGAACATGCTGGTGATGCAAAAGGTCACCATTGGACTTGGCTGAGCTGGTAAATGTCAATAAGCTGGAGCTCCTTGTAACTTTCAGCTTCTGCATGTGGGGCAGTGAACCTCACCATCAAGCCTAGGCCCCCCACCTCTGCAGCCCACGCTGACCCATCTTGTCCCACTGAGAGACCCCTTCTGAATTGTTCACATGGGAACCTATCCATCCAGAGTTCTCAACATTACAAAAGCTCTGGCCAAGTCATTTTGCAAGCTTAGCCTTTTTCTGCATATAACCATTTACAGATTTGAGTCTTTCCCTCCTTGATAT